CTTACTGTCACTTGTTTTCCAGCTTTTACTGTGAGAAGTACACCGACTCGAATCCCTCCAAAAATCCACGCTCGTATAATTGGGTCACTCATTAGCGTTCCCAAACAAATCCGCGAGACAGGAGCTCGTATAATTAGTGACAGGCGGAACACGGAGGCTCCTCCGGTTGTTTATCGGAGCGGCTTTAATTGCGTCACTAAGTCGCTGTATCGACGGATGAGGAATATTTTATGACGGCGAAGTCGGCGCGGAGCGCTGAGTGCAATCCACCCCCGATCGGAAGTTGGACGGCAATTATCCGGTCCCCCGGCCGAAAACGTCAGCCATCGGGAAATCGAGCCCGCGCCGGAAATATACACGGCTTGTTTTACGACAGTTCGCCGAGTTTCCAACCGTGAACTTGGATTTGCTTTGTCTAACGACTCTAGCCCACGCCCGTCACGGCGATTGTGTTTGCGGGGGATGATGCTCCCTCGACCCCCGTGTACATATCCATCGAATTTATTTCGGGGCGCGGATGTGACTGTCCGAGGCTGAGGAACCTCACACTGGGGGAAAAAAAAAAAAAAAAAAAAAAAAAACATTGGATCTAGAGTCCAGACTCTTAAAAGCATCGGCAAGAGGAAATACTCTTGATTCAATCAGATTTTTGCTTGAATCAAAAGAAAATCCGCTCTAATTAAGAGGCTTGGTTCTTGATATAAACAAAAATCCGATTGAATCAAGAGTATTTCTTCTTGTCGATGTTTTTTAGAGTCTGGACTCTAGATCCAATGTGTTTTTTTTTCCAGTGTACAAGAATCGAACATTAAAACGCGATTCTCATACCAGCGCGACTGGCCCATGTATCGACTTTCTCTACCCTTCACACAACATTTCCAATTTCTTTTCTTTGTCAAATGCGCTGACTTTCCCTAAACATTTTGCAACAAATTTTCCTTATTTAGGGATCAAATTGGAAACGCACTGGAAAAAAAAACACATTGGATCCAGTGTCCAGACTCTTGAAAACATTGACAAGAAAAACCACTCTTGATTCAATCGGATTTTTGCTTGAATCAACACAAATTCCAATTAAATTAAGAGGCTTGGTTCTTGATTTAAGGTAGATTCTGATTGAACCAAGAGTCCTTTTTCTTGTCAATGTTTTCAAGAGTCTGGACTCCAGATCCAATGTGTTTTTTTTTCCAGTGCAGTCCTCGGAGGTTAAAAGCCTGTCAACAAAGGGCCTTTTTGTGCCCTTTTTTGGGGAAACTTGGGGGTTTCGTTCAAATGTGACCTTAACGAAACCTCACGATGAGGCCAGGGTTGCCACAGTCAGGGAATACCGGGATATGTCAGAGAATTTTAAAAAGTCAGGGAAAATGAAGAAAATGTCAGGGGAAAATGGATAAGCATCTTTATTTGTTTACCAGGATGGGGTTGACGTTTCGAACAACAAATTTTGGATCCAATATTCTCCCAAAAGCGAAAAGTACCAATTGATATATTAATAGCAAAGACGTGAAAATAGTAGGTATGTGTCCAACATTTCAGTTATTCGGCACGCTTTTCCAACATATTCATGTTGGATTTTTCTTCTCGTTTTATTTTGAAGCCAACTTTACATCCTCAATTTGCACGGTAATGAATGGAACTGCTCGCAGCGTATTCTGTGGGACACTAGCAGGTGTTTCCCGTCGAAAACTCGCATTTCGCATCGCGACTCGCCCGGTGGCGTGGCGTGCTTTGCGATTTATCGATCGATCTAATATTTAAACCTATAGAAAAAACCAATTAACAGGGTGTTCGCAACGAACACCTTAATAATCGATCATTCACGCCGCGCCACTAGACTCACCTTAACAAAAATCGTTCCGCTAAAAAATTCGATTTTATGCACTGGACAGCTTTTTTTGAGCTTGGGAGTTGATTTCACACGGAGAAAAAAACCTCGTGCGTGGGACCCGAAGTTTAGGTCATATGAATCTCTGAAGTTTTCAGATTGAGCATCTGAACACTTTAGGTCTAGCTGTCGAGGTTCGGATCTCATATCTGAAACTTCAGTTCTAACATCTGAAATACTTCAGATGTGAGAACCGAAGTTTTTCGGATGTGAAAACCGAAGTACTTCAGATGTAAGAACTGAAGTTTCAGATGTGTGATCCAAACCTCAGCAGCTGGACCTTAAGTGTTCGGATGCACAATCCGAAAACTTCAGAGATCCATATGACCTAAACTTCGGGTCCCACGCACAAAGTTTTTTTTCTCCGTGCAGAGAAAACCAGTGGCACTATCGTATTTCTCGCGAACTTTTACATAAGAATCAACAGTCATATCGCAAATTCTCCACACTTGCAACATCTCCATTATTACGGTCGAATCGCAAATTCGCCACTCAGGAGGTGCGCACATCCGAGGATGACTCTGCCCTGTTTCGATGGAAAGTTTCAGCTTGTTGTGGTTGCGTGGCGATGCAAGCGATGATACGATCCGTCAGTCGAAATGTGGTGACACCCACTTTGCACCTCCATCAAACGCTGCCGATTTTCGCGCGAAATTCGCTTCTTTCACTTTAATTTCACGCCATATTGCGGGGAAAGTGGCAACTCCATCGGGCGCGAAAAATGACAGGCATTCCGTCCTCATCCCTCACCCGTTCCGTGAAAACCTACCCCGGTTTTTTCATGACTTGTTCCGGTGTAGTGCCGCTGTTTTATTGCGCGACAACAGTTTAATTGGACGTATGTCTGCCAAACGGAACTATGTGCATTATGACGTGAGCCCTGTTATGATATATATTCTTGTGGATCCCAGGGCTCATGTTTTAATGCGCAGAGTTCTGTTTGGCAGAAAAACGTCCAATTTTCGGACCGATGGCGCAATGTTTCTGTCCCCGCCGCGTGGAAATAATTTTCTCGACGGAGTGACAGAGTGCGTGCAATGAGGCAATTTAGGAAAGTGTTTCCGACGAATTATACACGAGAATATTACTGCCGTGCTAAGGGAAAAACGCCGTGTGTGCCCTCTGGCGTTGCCAAATCTCTCTCGATAAATCATGAATTTTCGGGAAAATTTGTGAATATCTCTCTTCCAATTTTACAGAAGATTTTGTTCGTAATTTGATTTAAAAAAGCTGAAAACTGCCAGGTCACGAATTCATAATTCTCTCTAAAACTAAGCATTTTCTGAGAGGAATTTTGGAAACATTCTAATATTCTTACTGTGTTCTTCCGTAGCTCGACAGATTAGCCCCTATCTTGGTGTCGCCCATTCACACGACTTCCGTCCCGTGGTGTTTATCGCCAGTGGCGTGGCGTGCTTTGCGATATATTGATTGATCTGTCATTTAAACCTATGGAAAAGGATCGATGAACAGGGTGTTCGCAGCGAACACCTGAATAATCGATTCTCTATCATAGGTGTAAATGGCAGCTCAATCGATATATCGCAATTCACGCCACGCCACTGATTATCGCGCATCAATATTACAAGGTTTCATCCATTTAGGTATGCGGAACAATCGAAATCCTTCGAGACTGGTTTCCTCACTTAGAATCGATTTTTATAATGGATTTAAACCGGGAAACAAAAGTCTTACCCACTTGAAAGGAGCGGTATTGCTCTCGTCCCGTATTTCGATGGTATTACAACAAAATGTGATTGTAGGTGTGATGTCATCGTTGAGTATTCCACTAAAATTCGCATCATTAAAACGTGTGCTGCAATTAATGGCTTCAAAAGCTCACAAAAAAGTTATAAATAAAAGGAAAAACTGGANGGGGGGGGGGAGGGGGGGGACACATTGTATCTAGAGTCCAGACTCTTGAAAACATTGACAAGAAAAATTACTCTTGATTCAATCGGATTTTTGCTTGATCAACACGAAATCCGCTTAAATTAAGAGGCTTGGTTCTTGATTTAAGCTAGATTCTCATTGAATCAAGAGTATTTTTTCTTGTCGATGTTTTTCAGAGTCTGGACTCTAGATCCAATGTTTTTTTTTTTCCAGTGCATTCGCACCATCCACCATAATATCAAAAATATCCTCATTTTGGGGAGAAGAGAGGTTTTAATGTAGTAATGTATTTTGTTTCAAAGCTTTCGTCGCTGTTTGGAACAAGGGCTTCATAAAAATGAGGTTTCAGACAAATTGTTCGTCAAACTGGCACATCCTATACTCCATTTTTGGATTATTTGCGTTTGTCTTTTTTTGTGTCTTTTCCAACGCCTCAAAAGACACAGTATTTTATAAGAAGACACGTTATATATTGTCGTCCCTCGGTCAGGAGGGTGCATCTCAACTCCACTTGAGACGTGTTTTACTTATAAATCCATGTTTTTTGAGGCGCATGCAGAAATCTAGGTACTCCGTCGCGACAGAGAAGCAGCGTCATATTCCCCAAATTCAAGAAAAACCTGGCAAACTTATCTAGGCCCATATTTTCTTAATCACTCTGTATTTTTTTCATGTAAAAATTCTTTTTGCGATTGAAAATGTGTCTGTATTCAGTGCAGATCACCTCCCGGACTATTGTGTCAAAGAAATGAAGCAAAAAAATGCACCGAGGATAAATAACAATAGGGAAAAATAATCCATGTGTTACGAAATTTTTAGCACGCACGTGACTGCACTAAGTATCGTATCACCGCTGAGCAGCTGTTGAAAATAGATTTAGTTTGACTCGCTATAACTCTTGCAAGTTCGATTTCGTGAATGTCTAATGTTATACACATCGTGTCTCGTATCAACAATCGCGAATGAAACAGTTTCTGAAACAGTGAATGCGGTTAAAAGGAGCTTATTTTCGTCCCAAAATTGTACATCAAAAGCTCTATCTAAACGAGCAAACTATTTCTTCCGCATACCCGCCTCGTAACCTTTTAAACTCCGTGTCGAGAACTTGTCAATCGACGGAATCTAAGTTGCATGTCCCGCGTTTTGTTTGATAAACTGTCTCAGCCTTTGTCGCTTCGTTTTATTTTTTCGTTAATTTTCCATTTTGTTTCTGTGTGTCCAGGCTAAGCTCGTGTGAGACTTTTTAAGCCACCAGCGAAGGAATATAATGGGCGACGACAAAGGAAAAGAGAAGGACGCAGGGAAGTCCCTGCCCCAGGGTCTCACCATCGACCGGGCCGCTTTCCTCCTGTTGAGGGTCAAGCGAGTTTTCCGCAAGAAGAAACAACAACGCAAACAAAAAAGGTGAGTGCAGTCATTTACATTCGATGTAAAATGTAGGGATGTTCGATCGTTCGCTCGATTTTTCCATTATTTATGCCGAGCGCGATCATGTGATAAAATAAACCGGCCCGCACCGCACGGTGATTCAAGTCCATGGGAGAGGTCGGACAAAATTTAGAAACTTTAATAGCCTATAACTTCGTTTATACAAAACTTTGAGGTTCTAAAAGTAGTTCTCTTGGTTTCCTCGTGAAATTTTCCTCCTTAAACACCCCATGAAATATCAAATGTGATGAAATAAACATTAACATTTGCAGTTTTAGTCAAAAATTTTAAGTCCGACTTCTCTAAATGACTCGATCCACTGTGCACCGTCGTGCAAATTGCAAATTTTGTCGCAATCAAAGAGCTGGCAATCCAAGCCTCCGTCATTTGCTTTTTAACGAATCCTCTTTAGTTTTTTCATTCTTGTTTTCGATTCCTAAATGCAACATTTTCTGATATATTTTTCGGGTAAATTCCGAAAAAGCTTTTTTTTTTTTGGAAGTATGATGAATTAAAGTAAGTAAAAGTTACGAAATAGGTATTCAATTTTTTAAATTTCAATTTTGAAATTGGAATTATTAATGCTAATAGACGTTGTGCTAATGAACGGAATAAAATCAATTATCCCTCCAATCCAATTATCAGCTCCTTTCAATTATTTCTTTTGAGGTTTTCTGAAGTCCAAGTTTCAAGTGGGGATTTAAAAAATGAAAATGTGAGAAATCAGGAGCGGTTATTATCGGAACGTGTCGGTTATTAGCGTTTATTTTCCGGTATTTCATCAATCCGGCCTTCAAGGGTATTTTTTAATTAATCCGGCTTGGATCTGAACAGGGCACGGGAAACGTAAGTGCCGTGCTAAGGAAGAACGCAGTATGAGTCTTCAGACGTTGCCATATTTCCTTCGATAAAAACCGAATTAACTGGAAAAATGGTGAATATTTCCCCCCAAAATGTGTATTCAATTTTCTACGAAATTTAATCTATAATATCTGGAAATTTCGAGGGATAATATGCACAAATTTCGTCAAAAATACATGTTTGTCGAGGGAAATTTGGCAACTTTTAGATGTTCTCACGGCGTTCTTCCTTAATATGGCAGTGAAGCTCACTTTGATCTGGCGAACAATCGCTCGCACACGAACACAGCCGTGCTAAGGAAAAACAATGTATGAACCTGCAGTCGTTGCCAAATTTCCTTTGATTAAACACGAATTCTCTGGTAAACTCATGAATATTTTCCTTCCAATTTTTCAGATAATTTTCTTCGCAATTTCATATAACAGGGTGTTCGGAAAAGTTCGGAAATAGTACTGATTTTTTTTATGTGCGGTCCGAAAGAACTTCTAAAAAAGTGCGGATATTCCGTTAGAAGGTCCGGAATTTTCCATTTTTGTCGCAATTTGAGAGAGAAATTCAATTTGTTTTTAAATTTTTCGAATTTCGTCAAATGGAGGCACTGAATTTTCCCGTTGAGGAAGTACTGAATTTCTCGGGAAAATACTGAAAAAGTACTGTAAAAGTACTGATTTTTGGCCAGCCTGTTTTAGTAGACACCCTGTATTAAAGTTCCTGAAAATTTCAAGGAAAAATATTCATAACTTTTCTTAAAACTAAACATTTTACCGGAGGAAATTTGGCAACTCTGGAGTGTTCATACGGCGTTCTTCCATAGCACGGCAGAACAGGAATTTCTATTTTTCACGGAGTATTCGGAAAGTGGTGACAAAAGCATTAAACTTGTTGACTCGCGCGTCAACACCATCATTCATTTATTACGCGAGCGCTCGACCCAAATGAATATTCGGTGCCGCGGCGAAGATCGCAGAGGGTGGACAGCATCACGAGCCCCGCTAATCCTAAACCGCGCAAGCGGCAACGGGAACCCCGACCGGTTGCGCGGTTTCCGCCGGACGTGACGTCACGCGGTCGCTGTCACCACGTCACGCGGGCACACGTCGTCGCGGTGCGGATTATAAATGAATCCGGTTTTCGGAGGCGAGCGCCGGGCGGGGATGCGAGATCTCTCGGGGAAACCGCGGTTTTCTGCCGTGCTAAGGCAAAACGCCGTACGAACATTCGAGAGTTGCCATATTTACTTCGATAAAATGTTTATTTTTTTAAGAAAGTTATGAATATTTCCCCTTGGATTTTTAGAAACGTCGGGTGATATTGTTAACAAAATTATGTGAAAAATTAAAAGAAAAATATTGTCAAATTTTCCAGAGAATTTGGGATTTACCAAAGGAAATTTTGCAGCGCCTGAAGGTTCATATGGCGTTCTTCCTTAGCACGGCAGTTTTTGGGGTTGAAAATGCGCGATTATGGCGCTGTCTGGCGGCGACGCGTGGATTCGTGGAAGTTGAGTCGCGGGCTCGTGATGACCTGGCCACGCACGACCCGCGAGCGGAGAAAATCGAGTTCAAAGTTTGCCAGTTGTGCCCGGAACATCCGAGTCCTCTTTCCCATGCCGCACAGTGGATCGAGCCATTAAGAACACTGGAAAAAAAACACATTGGATCTAGAGTCCAGACTCTTGAAAACATTTACAAGAAAAAATACTCTTGATTCAATCGGATTTTTGCTTGAATCAAAACGAAATCCGCTTAAATTAAGAGGCTTGGTTCTTGATTTAAGCTAGATTCTGATTGAATGAAGAGTTTTTTTTTTCTTGTCGATGTTTTTAAGAGTCTAGACTCTAGATCCAATATGTTTTTTCCAATGAGAGGTCGGACATAATGTGGAAACTTCAAAAGCTTACAACTCCGTTTAAACACAACTTGGAGGTTTCAAAATTGGTTTCATTGGTTTCCTCGTGATATTTTCTTCTCTAAGCACCCCTTAAAATTTAAAATATGACGATAAAAACGTCAAAATTTTTAGTTTTAGTCAAACATTTCATTTACGACCTCTGTAATTGACTAGATCCGCTGTATGGTGTCACTCTCCGTCCGCTTATTGTCCCTGGCCGATTTTTCCGGTTCCTACACCGTGACCTCATGGGACATTTTTCTTAGGATAGGAGTTTCAAGGTGTCTTTTAGAGGTTATAGTAATTACTAACTATTTGTATGTTTACAAGTATATCACCCACTGGTCCAGAATTTTATATTATTTATCTGATAACTTGTTTTATTTGTGTATGGACTCGAACAACATTACCACGATTTCGGTATGATAAACTTATAAAATTTAACTGAACTCAGATTTTACCTATAACAACCTTTCTCTTATTCACCACCTTCCCCATAAAAATTTTGAAAACATTGAAAAATTGCCATCGTGTAAAATTTGAAAGACGACCGTTTTCAAGGGAAAACGCCACCTCCGTGATTGTAACCCATTTGGAAGTTTCTCATCAAAATCCGCATAACTAGTCAGAATTCCACGAAAATCCTAAAATCCTACCGTTCTTGATTTATTTAAACATAATACCGAACGAAACGTCGGACTTGAAAATTTAGAAACATACACTCCATAGTAATGTAGAAGGGGAGGGGGTGTATAGGAAGTTCCGAGGCTTATGTTCTCTCAGGTTTTTTCTCAAGAGGAGGTTTGCTACCTTTAAATTCAGTTCAGCTGATTTTGGTCAACCCAATATGAGGAATACTCTTAAAATCAAGGGTTAGTTATAAGAGGTCCTTGTCTTTTGCAAAAGCTTTTACTCTATAAAATGATGCACTTAAATCACTCCTATATGGAGCATTGCACAGGGTGATCGCAGTCAAGGAAAATCTGAAAATCTGGGCAAAACTGGAGAAAACAAAATTGGTCCTAAAATTACGTCAAAATTCCTTCGGTGAACATGAATTCTTATGTGTCGCAGCATATGGTTTCACTTCGTTCCGTAGCGAGATCAGTACATTTTAAATTCGTTACTCATCATTGTAGCTCTACTTTGCAAAATCAAGAAATTTTCTTAAATTTGACCGAGAAAATTTGAAAAATCTGAGCATTCTAATCCTTTTTCTCTTTGGTCACCTCAATCGTAGCTCAAGCAAAACTTTGAAGCACGAAAAGGCAGACAAAAGTTGCGATTATGTAGCATTTGTGTGACAAAAATCTGAAAATAATTATTTTCCTGAAAGACTCACGCTCTCTTGACGTAACATGTGACGCCTGCAAAGTTTTCATTGGATTCGAGCGATAACTATTCGAACACCAGCGTCGTGGAATTGCATACCCATCAATTTGAAGGCGATTTTTACGCGTCGAAAAGTCACGGCCTATTTAACCGCAGACGGAACGGGAGATCAGGTTTGATAACCAACAGTTTGAACGGAACAGCAACTGGGATGTAAGTCCCGACTGATAATACTCGATGCGTCCACTTTGATCGGAATTGGTTCGGAATTTGATCGTCTATCCAGGGCCTTACACATTCGGATGAATATAACTCGAATTAGTGAAATTTCAGCTGTTGAGCGACGACTGTTGACTGCCACATTCATCCGCCAAATTCAGCGTGTGATCGCGACATGTGATACTTGGCCGGAAGGCGACGATAAAAGTATTGCCAACTTGATAAAAATTACCTCATTTATTGATTTTCTTCAATGGACTGAAATCTTTTTTTCCCAAAGACTGTCACAACTCATCGTAAATAGCAAGTTTCCGGGTAGGACGTATGTCACGTAAAGTCCCTGAGCGGTCACTCACTCACTCAGTCGCTAATCGTTATAGGTGCCGCGACTCGATTTCCGAAAGCTCCGTTAGTTCCGTTTTGTTGAGTGGCTCTCCGAAGAGCATGCCTACGTGTCACTTACAGTGACTTTTCTCCTTTTACGCTTGTACCGTCGAGAAATAGAATAGGTAATTGCATCAGTGTCTACCGGAGGGCTGACACCTCGACGCCATGTTGACGATTCTCCTTTGCCGCTTCCTGAGATGATGCTCCGCAGCCCGTAACAAGATACATAATAATAACAATCTTAATTTAATTTTAATATTTTTTTTTTAAATTTCAATTTGCCGCTT